GTCTTTTGGAGACATGGCAATAAGTTGTACATCATATGTAAAAGCTTGTGCGTTACTTACGTCTACAATTTAAGTCTAAGTAAGTGTTATGACAATTCTCGTGCTCAGACCTTTAGCAGTCTAGTGTTATAATATAAGTCTGTAATGCTCCTATATATCATTTTATCTTTGTTTTAACATTAGATAATAAAACAATACACGAGGACACTCGGGTGACATTTACATTACGCAGCTCTAATAACTATTCAGATAAAGAAAACTCGTTTTCCTAACCTAAATAATCGCTTCAAAAAGCAGACTATCACATTTTTCTACTTAATTCTACATTTTCTCATTTTGAATAGAAACGTATCGAATGAGCATATACGTATTTTTATCGAGTTTTGCGATGACATCCATATTCTAAGATTACATTTCAAAACGACCTCTCCGAGGAAAATTTTACTTGAAATACTGTAGTATACATTACATGTCTTATATATATTAGGTGTACAAAAAAGTTCTGAGCTTTAGATTTGATACAACCGAAATAACAATTTAAATTTTATATATCTTCCCGCCCTTTTGGGGTTTTAAAACAGTAACATTTAACCTCCTGAAATGCGATACGGTTTGGCGTTTGATGCACATAACCTCAAAAATCAGTAGTGTTCACGATGGCAATTACAAAAGAGCATATTCGATTTTCCATCCACTTCGCGTTTCATCTGAAGAAAAATGCTGCTGAAGCCACTGAAATGATTTGTGCTGCATATGGAGAGAACGCTGTAAGTCATGCAACATGCAAAAGGTGGTATCAAAAGTTTCGCCAAGGAGATTTCAGTCTTAAAGATGAATCGCGTGCTGGACGCCCTGAAAAGATTGAAACGGACGAATTGCAAGCACTGCTGGATATAAACTCTGCGCAAACTGAAAAGGAGCTTGCAGAACAGCTTGGCGTTACGCAGCAAGCCATTTCCGTACGATTACATACGATGGGAAAGGGAATTTTACAAAAAAAAGCTCAGAACTTTTTTGTACACCTAATATAATTTCATAGTGCTTTGGAGCGGTTACGTATCCGGTTGCATACCACCATCTACTATCCTTGACTTCTGAAATTGTCTAAAAACCGCTGCATTTCGATGATCCACAAATACCTATATAATTATGAATGTATAGCTATGATACATCTATTCAATATATGGTTCTGATAGAAATTTGTGCAGTTTAACTGAACATCCAGTCAGTTATTTAATATTTCATTTTAATGTTATAATGACTATTTTCAGGTTAGGAACTTACACGCTGTACTTTCGCAGTTAGCATATATATCATCTTCGATTAGAGATCTCCACAGTCTCTCTCCTGTCGCTGTAATAGTACGCCGTATTGATACGGTACGGGTTATATCATGATGTACATACATGCACAATTTAATAACGATTCTAGTTACTACAAAGCAAAAAAAACTGTTGTTTAGGGAATAATCGAATTGGAAAAACATCGTGTCAATATTCGATTATTTTCAAAAAAATATTTGATGTCAAAATAATCGAGTGCGAATCGTCCAATTCTATTTGTAATGAAACTTTGACCGCAGCCTATATGCGACAATGCGACATAACTTGTGCGACTATTGTAGATTAGGGATACGGTCAACGCGATGCTGTAAACGCTTTGAAGCATCTTTTAACTGGTCAGTTTGTAAAATTCTTCTAATTGGTCCATCAAATGCTTCAAAGCATTTGTAACGAGATTTTGACTGCAGTCGAGGCTCAATATTTTCACCATGGAATTGTGTGTCTAAACTGTAAGAAATGAATAATCACATTCCGCGATTGATGCACCACTGCACCACTTTGCGCCACTTTCGGCGCTACTTTTAAACCTCGTCGTTATTTCGAAACATTCGTTATTCCATAATGACGGTTGTTTATAAAAAGCGAAGCGCGCTGTTGACTTTGTTCCGTAAATTGAAATGATAAGATCTTTGTATTGATTTGTCATATAATTTATTGAATTAAAATTGGTTAGTCCGAGAAAACCTTTGTCCATCTAATTATTTAAAAGAAGACTGATGATTGTCCTCTAAAAAAGGTCCTTCTAAGAAGAACCCTCAAATCTAAGGATCTTTCACCATATACAAAATCAGATTGGTTGGCATTTTTTTACTTCTTTCGCGGTATTATACAACGGGAGGCGACAATTATCGCTTATTTCTATAACATTCCTATTGCTATTCTTATCGCTATTGCCTCGCATTGCGTTTAGGGCTTTACATAGCTGTTCACCACTGATTGTAAACAAAATGACCAAGTGATAAAACTCAATTTCACAAAATTTTTAATTGTAAAAATAAACCCATAAATCAATGCTGTATGGTCTCTCTCTCTCTCTCTCTCTCTCTCTCTCTCTCAATCGTGTACTTTTTTTTTAAAGGTAAAATCTAAAATAAATACTTATTCACAAAAGAACTATTCATATATATAACATCTTTATTTTTCAATAAACACTTTGAGTAATGTAAATCTCGTCTGCTTTTTATTCGTAATCTTACCCCTTACAACAGGCACCTTTTCTTCGCATTTCAGACTTAGATAACATATATTTTAAAATAAAAGTACAAAGATTTTTTCAAAACGATACCGGGATCATCACAACGCAGACAACGTAACGCAGTAATTAAACATGTTCGTTCCTGTTTTATCTCTTCTTCTTCCAAGTAATACAGATGCTTATCATAAATTACAAAACATGATTTTACGATATTTAATCCATTTAAAAATAGTCTAACACAATAAAAATCAAATACATAGTTTATAAAATTGAAAAGCGAATTATATAATTAACGCATATTCTTTTAGCGTAAACTACAAAAATTTAAAGTCACTTAAGAACTCTCTGTTTTTTTCATATCGTACAATAGTTACAATAGTTTACATTGTTTACATAGTCTGTATAAAAAAAAATTGCGCAAACACACACGGACTATATATATATATGAAATATTCCTGTAGGCATAATCTTAAAACTTATGACACAATCCTGACTCATATTTCCTTTAAAAAAGTCTGAGTGTTTGCTAAACAGGAATCAAATTTCCATGAATATGGTTCGGATTTCGAATATATACTAAAAAAAAAAGTTCAAATCTCTATAATAGAATTTCAATTTTAATAAAATTATAACTAAGTCTTCATTGAATAAAGTAAATATCTAATAAATAAAGTTTTAAATAGTTATCTTTATTATTGTCTTGTCAAGACTTATACATGGCATAGAACAAATGTATAAGCAAAAAAATGAAATATGCCAGTAAATATTTGTAATAATTCATTTCCATAAAAATAAAGCTGAAATATAATAAAGCAGAATCACACTATGCTCGATTTCTTGAATGATAAGCATGCATACATGCATACTACTATGTTTGATGCATGCAGTCCGACAAATAACTACGAAATTAGAATTGTTCCTATTCTAAAGATGCTAACAATACGTTCAGAAGAACACAACAATTTTGCAACCGTTTTATGGGTGTTTTTCCAATATAATGTACACAGGTAACACAGTGTTATACTGCTCGATACTGTAAAAAGCTAAGTACGAGCGTGTAAAATATATCAATGTTACCAACTTTTCAAAAGGTTATTTGATAGCCGTACTCATTTTGCAATAAAACCTTCAAAAATTAAATTCTGAAAAAATTATAAATTATAAATCTGCAAACCGTATGCGAGCAATCTTCTCAATTCTTTGTGGAATGTTCCATCCGTTCGTTGACCAATAACTTTGAAGTAGTATTGTCTTTTGAAGTAGTATATCTTAAGTAATATGACTGCACATTTGTATCAAGTATCTGAAGATGGCTCAATGAAGTCGAAACATGTAATGCGTAATCTCTAAAATTTTTATACAATTAATATATCATATTATAGATCTTTTATACACACTTAATTGTTTTACTGACTCTTATGTGTGTGTGCCCTTCACATCTTCGTATTATTTTTTGAAAACTTAAGAGTCCTGTACTTCTTACTTGATTTTAAAAAATTGTAACTTAAGTCTAAATAAAAATCATAAATCTATTATTGATACGCTAAATATAATTATAAGAATAAGAATGGAAGACTACAATGCATTCTGGTGTTACACTACGAAACTGTGTTCTAACAAGTATCTTACACAATGGAATACAGTATAAGTATTCTGTGTCCTAGTTGAAAAACAGCCATTATCTACTGAGATAGGACTAGTCTTCTAATCTAAAAGTGTATTCCAATCAGAGCGAAGAAAACTTCCAATAATTGTAAAATAAACATTTTGCTGACCAATAATCTGCTCATATGAATGTTCTTAATCATTTGAGTGATGCAAGGAAACAAGCTATAAATAAGAAACACCAAATTCAAGCTTTAACAAACATTGTTGATTAGATAGAGCGAAAAGTTCGCGTATATCTCAACAAGAGATCAGTCAAATCTAATACCCAATTATGTTTCAAGTTTCATTTTTCTGTAGACTTTTATGTAGACAGAACGGAATGTTAATTGCAACGAAGTATTCGTGACCATACTTAATATTAGAGGTACGAGAACAAAAGATCCCAAATTCAAATCCCGTTCGACTCTATCAATTTTTTCACTGCTTACTTACTATTGATAATGCGGCATCAGGCTTACAAGATAGCGCTAACAGCAGTATATGGAAAAATATATCATATTCGTGTAAGGACCTTTCGCCTCTTTGATGCATGAAGCATGCTGCGCTCAATGCATGAACTATTCTAGCAAGCATCAAGCATAGCAGTACATGCTTGTCATTCAAGAAATCAAGCATAATGTGATTCCAATTTAAAAGATTATAGATTGATAAACATATAAACTTTTTTTTTCCTCTACAACTTATGTATATATTTTTTGTATAATATTGTATATGAATATTCATGATCCAACTATTTAAAAAATATATCATGAGTGTACACAAAAAAAAGTGTCAATAAAAGAAATTTTATAAGAGAGGCAAAATTCAAAAGTCAATCTCTTAGCGAAATACATTTCTGCGAATCTCAGAATATATTGTGTATTACGTTTTCCTTGTAATATTACTTATAGTAATAGAGAAGTAGAAGATAGAAAGAGAAAGAGAGAGCAAAAGAATAACAAAGCCTCTTCTTTGCTTTCTCGAATATATGCGAAACCGATGGAGCCTAAAAAGAATTACTTTGGCCTCAGACCATAACTGAGTGGTGATGTTGGAGGGATTGTTGGCGTATAAGTGGGAGTAGAAATTTCGCTCACAACAGCAGTCGTGGAAGCGTTCGTCTCGCTTTTGTAACGAATGTTGGTGTATTCTCTACCTAACTGAAGTGATTTCTATAAAAAAAACAAATCAATTAAAAAATACATGAGGCGTTCTCTATTAAATCGGCCCCCTGCTCATTTCAATTTTTGAGATAAAATTCTTTAAAAGGGCTTAAAATTTTCCTTGAAATGTCTATTTTTCATTGCCGTATGACGTTTTTGAAAATTCAAAATGGCGACTGGAATAAAAAGACATTGGAAAAATTAATGATATCGTGAATAAACGTGCACAATGTGATGTAGAGGTCTGATCCATGTGCGTGCGTGCGACAAAATTTTAAATTATAATTCGATCATTCTCTTCCCGACAAAGGACGTCGTGAAAAAATCTACGATGGAAATATTATTGAGCGTTAAAAACAATTTAGAATTTCTACAGGATAATAATATGATAATTTAATAAGTATTTAAACTTTTACCTTATAAGAAATACTACTAAAGAACTAATTTTCGATCATTTGAAATTTTTTACGCAAATGTCTTGATAACCACTGGATATCGTGTTGAAAAAAAATCGCCATTTTGAGTCCGCCATTTTGAATTTTCAAAAACGTTATATGACATTGAAAAATAAACCTTTTAAGGAAAATTTTAAAAGCCTTTTTAAAGCATTTCATCTCAAAAATTTAAATGGGCTGAGTCGGGGAAGGGGAGGGTGGCCGATTTAACAGAGAACGCCCCATATAATATATAATTGTTTATGTTATAACATGGTAATAAAATTTAGTACCTGTTCTGCTTGCATTCGTTGAGACACAGTCTCAATATAATGTAGAACAGCAAGGTAGACAAATTTATATTGCGCCTCTGTTTGAACCATTCCTGATCTTCGCGCACGTACTCGCTGTACCGTACGTTGAATGTCAATTTCACAATCCAATCCTAAACATAAAAAATTAAATAATATGTTATTAATGTATATCATAATAAGTAAAAGTAAATTAATAATCATTTCACAATAAATCATAAAAGATACATTCTCATTAGTAATATGCCATTGATATTATATGCCAAATATTATATATTTAGCGTCTTTAATTATACAAGAACTTAACTCTCACCATGTATATGAGGGTCATTTGTATCTAGGCGATTTTTAAAATTATGAATATTTTGAAAACAAGTAAATACAGATGCGCCGTTCTCCTAAAAAAAAATTGTGAGATGGAAGATGCCCGTGAAAGCCCGATAGTGGACATCATTTTTTCGCTGTGTAGCGGATAAATGACCCCTGTATACACTTAACGCATACTTGTTGTGTACAAATAAGAAAATAATTTTTTCGTCTTTCTTGATTATTTTTATAAGTAAAACATAGGGTGTCCGGTAAATTTGGCAAAGCGCTCTTGTGTAGATAAAAAGCGGACTAAACTGAATCGAAAAGTTCTACTGTACCATTTTGCAATTTTCGCAATAATTAACAAGATATTAATTACTAAAAATTGCTGAATATTGACTTCAATAATTTTTTACTCAAATACTATTAACTTTACAGAAAAAGCAAGAGACAAAAATTTATTTTCTTCTCATAGAACACTAAGAATTTTTTCAGAATTTTTTATTAACTTTTCCAACTGCATTTTCTTATATGTATATTGGTAACTATCTTTACCAACATGAGAAAAAACGATATTAAAAAATTCTGAAAAAAATTCTCAAAACTTTATGACAAGAAAATAAACAATTTTTGTTTCTTAATGTTTTTCTGTAAAATTGATATAATAGTATTTGAGTAAAAAATTATTGAAAACTAATATTCAGCGATTTTTAGTAATTAATATCTTATCTTTAACTATTGCAAAAATTGCAAAGTAGTAGACGATTTTCGATTCAGTTTAGTCTACACACGAGCGCTTTGTCAAAACTTACTGGACCCTAAATATAACAAAAAAATTTTTATTTAGTATCTTAGAATAAAAATAGCAAATCTGCAAAAGAGATGTTACAATTTATTCGTTCTTTTACAATGTCATCCCGTATGTATTTTTTTATTTATGAGATTACAGACATTTTGAATAAAAATTAATTTTTTTAAGTCAAATGTCAATTTGTTATAGAAATGCCTATTTTTATAAATTTCGAAATTGTAAGATTTTATGTCCTGAGTTTAAGCATTTAAATTTAAAAAATTTGACATTTTTTTATTAAAATATAAATTTTGAATTTTATTTTCCTTTTTTAATTGCTAGATTTCATTGATTTAATCAAAAGTTATAAATTTTTAAACGTACTACTTACCATACTTACATGTGTTCACATTTGTACACAAATAAAATATTTAAACAAATAGTTTTGTTAAATTATAAATCTTTCTCTCTCTCTCATTTTTAATATTTTTCAAATCACTTAATCCATTAAAAACAAATACGCCGGGCATGAATGACTCCCGTAAACATTTAAAGTGATTGTGTCGCACAGGGCGGCCTGTGGGTG